GTGTCTGTGTTTCGGTTCTAATTTCTGGCGTCGCCTGGTGGTCGCATAAAGTAACACAATACCCAGTTAGCGTGCGGCAGAGAGTCCCTGAAAGCGTGTGTCCGTATGTCCGTGTATGTCCGTGTATGTGTGTGAAAATGCAACATTACAGCCGCCACTTAGTTGTGTGTTTTGTGGCAACAACCGGGCGGGGAGGGGGAAGCGGAAACGCAGGCACGTAACATCGTGTGCTGCAGTTATGCGATAGCTGCCGTTGCAGCAGCAGAACCTTTTATGGCATATTTTAGTGGCTTTTGCTTTAAAATAAAACCTTGGCTGTTAGTAGGTGCTACTGCTGGTGTCCTGCTGCTCCTTCTGCCGAGGCACCTCTTCCTGCTGCTGACCCATAACGCTGCAAAGTATGCAATGGAAATGGCTAAGGCCCCGCAAAGTATGCAACAATTTGCCATAAAACGAAACCACAGCAGAACCTCCAGGAAAGGAAAGGAAAACCCATCCACCCTCCACGCCAAAAAATAGGAAGAATATTATACAATTTTCGCACAGAGTGCCGCCTTCCCCCTCCCCCCCAGGAAATAGTTTTCGGGTATTATATAACATCTACGCCTCGTTAGTGCTTTCTTCTCCACAGCCAAACGATGCTAATGAAAGGCAGATCTCTCTTCTTCTGCCACTTTTGGCTGCTTGTAAAATGATTCTAAACGGATCTGGCATGGAATTTGGAGAGGCTGCCGTAACGCCTAACAAGCGAGCAGGCAGCACCACCTTTTCCTGCCATCTCCTTTGCATTACGTAAGTGGAGCAGCAGCAGCAGCAAAAGGAGCAGTAGCAGGATTCGTCGTCGTCTTCCATTATTTGGCCAATTGAGAAAACATTTTCATATTCAAAAAGAGCCACGAGCCTTCGGGAGGCAGCCTTTGGGGTCTTGCAAATGACGCCAAAAGTACAGTCACTGTCGCAGTCACAGTCCCAGTTCCGAGCTCCCAGGTGACCCATATGTTGACGGTAATAAACATTACGAGGGGGAAGAGGAAAAGTGCCGGAGAGGAAAGCCTATACTCGTTGGAGACTTTTTTGTGGTTTCTCTAATCATATAAATTTTTAGGATTTTTTACAGGCACAAATCTAAGCAAATCCTTAAAGTTCCTTCGTGTCTAATAATTTTATAAAAATATTCATCATATTGGAGCTCTATCGCAGCAAACTTCCTCGGGTCATGGCTGTAGTTTTTGAAAGCCCATGGCTCGAGGATGTTGCCTGTGATGCAACTCAGACCCAACGACAAAAGATCATCGGAAAAGTGCTTCAATCACTAGATATTTTTTCTAACTTTTCACGTGATCGATAGCAAAATTTTATTTTAATTTTATAAATTCAAAATTAATTTCCGATTTTTTTTTTATCAAAATCAGAATTTATTTCTTAAATTATTCATTTTACTTTTTCGTTGATTATAAAAATATTTTTTCTCGTTAAATATGATCCTCTTGATTATTTTAAAAATAAATTCCATTTTCTCGTTCTCTCCAATTTGTACATAATAAAAGTTCCAATTAAATCGAAAATTAAGCTGGAGGTCTATCAGAGCAAACTTCCTCGGGTCGTTGGGGTTCCTTCGAAAGGACAACGGCACGAGGATGTTGCTTGTGATGCATTTCCATCAAAACAGCAAACGGAAAGTGCTTCAATTTTCTATAATTTATATTTATCATTATTTAGTTGAATTTTCTGAAATCTTTAAACAGTAGCCATAAAAATTAAAGCAAAAAAAGAGAATTTGAGACCAAAAGGAAGTTTTGCTGCTTAGAAATGTTTTTAAGATGCAATTCCTATAATAAACCACTTCCAAATACAATCATTTGATGGAAAAACAGCTCCTGCGATTCCTTAATGATTCAATACAAATATTGCCCCAATTACCGGATCAATATAGGGGTTTCTCAAGTCTTGAATCTTCCAATTACCTCCAGAAATACTCCTTAAAAAAGAAAGAAAAACTCAGCGACAAATGGCTCTACGTTCCTCCTTATCTCCCCCTCTGCTTCTCTCTCCCACTGTGGCTTTGCCCCAGATACACGTCTCATTGGATTTATGACAACCAAATTGATATTAATGTAGGAAAAACTCGACGAGCTTTAACAAAAAAAAAAGGAATACGAGTACGCAAATGTAGGCATTGGCCCACAGAAAACTGTGTGGCACGAAGCAGGCAGATAGGGGATATGGAGATTTGTGGTGTTTGGGGCAAGGACACAATATGGCAGCTTGGCATTTCCGAGTTAACTTTGGCAGCATATTCTCCTCGCTGCTGCCGCCTGTGCCACACACTGCCCCTGTTCCTGTGCCCCCCCTTTCCACTTTTCCGCTTTTGCGACTGTTTTGCATATATCGCAGAGCAGATCCTGTCGGTGGCACTGTCTGGGGCGCGCTGTAAACCGCGATTAACGTAAATAGCATAAAAAACAAAAGCGATGCCCCACAACGCCAGGCGCAGAGAATGTAGGTCATGGATGGGCCACAGCCTCCCCATCATTTTTCCTACTCAATTTTTTCCTGCATTGGTTTAAGGGGCTTTCCCCGAAAAACACAACGACACAAAAAAGGTGTGGAAAAGTGCGAGTTGAACTTTAAAAGATATTGGATACATCCGCTAGATTTAAAACTCACTCTTTCCGCAATTTCTCAAAGTATTTTCCAAGAAACTTTTCCGCTTCAAACGGATTTTCACTCTCAATTTTCCATAGTTTTTATTTGATTGGGCAAAATCATATTTTGTGTGAATGATGTTTGCGTGTCAAGGTGAATGGCAATTTGCATAATCAACAATTGAATGGCTACGAATGGATTTTGCCGCAGAAATGCTCTCTCTCTCCCTCTCTCTCTCGCTCTCTTTCGTACAGCAGCTGGTGCTCCAGTTTTCCCGCTGCTGCTGCTTTTCTTTCACTTTCAATTTTCAATCCCCCAAACGAAAAGCAGAGGGGGAAAAGCGACGGAAAAGTTAACCACACACCGCGTCACTTGACAGGAGGCCCCTTCACACCCCACCCCCTCCCCAACCCCTTGAAAAACAAACTTTCAAAAACTCAAACTGCAACCTGCAACTGCATTGCGACAATTTCCTTTTGTGTGGCAGCAACACACACAGCCATGAGTGTGCCCCTGCCTCCCGTATATTCCATTCCATATTTTATCTAGTTTTCTAGTCCCTGGCACAAAACTCTAGTAAATCATGCCATTTTATTGACTCTTTCGCAACAATTTTCACAGTGTTCCCCACATGGACTCTGCAGAATGAGGGGCAGGGGGGAAAGGCCCTCTGCCATATGGCGGGGCGAGGGTTTTTGCATATTTATGGGTGGGGAATACTAAGCAACATGTGGCACTGTTGCAATATGTTTCTATTAGCTATGCAGCTGGTAAAATCTGTTTGTGAATTAAGGTTGGAAAAACTCCCCTTCTTTAAGGGGAACAGGGGAACAAGTGGAAGAAGAAAGATAGAAAAACAGCTGAAAAGGATCGACTACAGTGTTATACGAGTTCTTATGTTTCAGATAAAGGCATTTCCATTGTAATTATTTTGTGCTCCAACAATAACAAAAAATAACACAATTGTATCTGTGATAATATTTTTTAATCAATTACAAATTACAAAATAAAAAAAAGAGCTAACTTTTGCTTATTTTAATAGGTCTTCAGATCAAAGTTAATGAAATAAAATGCCAATTGGTTAAATAAGCTGAGTTTCAATAAATTTAGAAAATAATATCGGCACAACAGTATATGGAAATAGAATTTTAATTGTTTTTACTCGGCTGAAATATATCAATCATTTCTTTTTTATATTTTCATGGCAGAAAAAAGCATAATATATAATATATATGCATAATATATAATATATATAATCTATAATAATGTATATTCCAGTATTCCTTATTATAATAAGAATTTTAGCTGACTATTTTACCTGAAAGCCAGTGGAGGATACATTTTGGGGTGAACAAAAATGAAGGAAGGCCTCACAATGTCTATAAAACAAAACGAAACACTTGAATGATTATTGTGGTCTAGGAGTCTGCATTAATCCTCACTTTTTACTTGTCTAGAAGGTATACAATACTTTTACACGGAGGTCCCTTCTATTTATCAAATATTTCAGTGTTTGTTACACCTTTTTTCAAAGAGATTTTCATAGGAATGGCTTGGGAAAAGCACTCAAATTAGTGTTCTATAAAGATGGAAAGGCACAAATTATACTAAAAACCTCTCTTTTTAAACATAAATCATGTTCTAGTAAATGTTAGATTTTTAAAGATTTAGAAACGGCTTTTTCAAACCAGAACCTTCCTTCAACCCAATATAATTTGCATTTAAACTTTCGCCACAAAAAGCGTATTACAAACCCTCGACAATGGCCACAGCAGTGAAGTGGCAATCAGTACGAGTAGTAAATGTATTTTGGTTTTTTTGCCCTGTTTTTCTCAAAGAAGCAGTCCACTGAAACCCCTGGCGTGTTGTGCCAATCATTTAATTACAGACTGCCGTGCCACGCCTCTACGCCTCCACTCCTCCACTCAAATGTTCAAATGCTCATCTCGATTACAATTTTCATCTGTTAATCGGAGTAGCAAAAAGTGCGTACGTAAATTTAATTAAATAATTAACGCCGAATGCAAATGACAGCGAAAAAAGGCCAGCAATAAAAAACTGCATGAAAAAACAAGAAATGGGCGTTCACGTTTTTTTTTTATTCTGCTGAACCACTCAATCAGTGCAGCCTTCGGGTTTCATTAAATGATTGAAAAACTGCATAAAATCCACTAGAAAAATTCTAAAAAAAAATGTTAAACATTTTGTAATGAAAAATAGAGAGTATGCAAAAAAAAAAAAAAGGCATACATTTAATGCCTTTTCCAATCAAGATATATGTGGATATAGATCCCTGATTGCCTCTGACTGCCACACCCATTAATCTGTTGCTGTTTCTGTTGTATCTTTTGCAGACTCAAGGTGGATAATAACGGCGGGGCCTGGTGTCCCAAGCATATGGTGTCGCGTGGTCTCCAGGAGTATCTACAGATCGATCTGCTGCAGGTGCATCTGGTGAGCGCCATACGCACTCAGGGCCGCTTCGGCAAAGGTCAGGGCCAGGAGTACACCGAGGCCTATGTGCTGGAATACTGGCGGCCGGGCTTTGAGAAATGGATACGCTGGAAGAGCAGTCAAGGGAAAGAGGTAAGTGGCATGGGGGATGAGTGCGTGATGACAGAGTCGTGAGTGAATCTCGTGTTCGAAAAAGGAGGAAAATACGTTGATTGTAACCGAATTTCTTTAGAAGAAGGTTAAAAAACTATAGAAAACATCTGTAAACAATAAAAGATTGTATATTGAGGGCTTAAACCACATAAATTGTATCTCCTTTCTTTCCTTTGGGTCTAAAAATGAAAGAATGTCTCCAAATTATAGATTTTTGTATGCCAAAAAAAGAAACCAATAAAAAAGATCTCCCTATAAACCAAAAGTCTCATTTCAACACCCTAAAATAGCCTCCCTCTCACGCTCTCATATCCAAAGACATTCTCTAGAGCTTCTCTCATTCTCTCTCTCTCTCTCTGTCGCTCTATCATTCACACATTAATCACGAGGCCAGGCCCATTTCCCAGATCCAGCAGATACGAATCTTAATAGCCTCTGGGGGCCTGCAAGATATTGCATCTTTTAGCCAAACAATTTACGTGCGAACTATCGCCCCACACAAAAGAGAGGCGAAAATTGCGTAGGTGTTCCACGAATCTCCCCATTCCCCCCCCCCCCCCCCCTCTCCCCCTCCCCCCTGCTCCACCCTGCTCGATGGAGCGTTGCATCGATTTATTGTGTGCAAGCAATGGAAAATCAATTTTAACGCTTTTGTTTTTGTTCTTGTATCTCTGATTCCCACCTACACGACGTGCATACGAGTATCTTTGCCTCATGAGGGGAGCCCATTTATAATCTCTCTCCTTCTGCCTCTCTTGTGCTGTGTCGTTGCAGGTCTTACCCGGGAATATAAACACCTACAGCGAGGTGGAGAACGTGCTGCAGCCGAGCATCTTTGCATCGAAGGTGCGCATCTATCCCTACAGCCAGTACGATCGGACGGTCTGTCTGCGCGCCGAGATCGTCGGCTGTGCCTGGGAAGGTAAGTGCTACGGTCCCCCTTGCCCCACCATGCCCCCCCTGCCATGAGTTATGCTCTTAAACACCGCTATCCCTCGGGAGGCGGGATACTCCTTCTCTCTCTCTGATCATTCAGCATTTCGCACTTGTTCCGTGTCTTGGGGCAGGCAAACAACAAGAAAATGTATCTTTTTAGCTGCAAAACAGGCTGAGGGTCTACCCATTTGAAGATAGTCGAAGGGGGAATACCCTTAACAGCAATAAAATGGGGCAAAAACCGAAATATTATAAAATATATAACATATCATTCGATTTGTATCAATAGATACAGATCTGTCAATACTTTTTGCCGTTTTCCTGTTTTCTGCCCAACCGTTTCCCTCCATCGATGTACCCTGTAGGCGGGGTAGGGTATTACAAATATCTGCCAGCATGCAATCAGCCAGGAGACCGGTTATTGCTTGATGACTTTGTTTCGCTTTGGCCGTCGATTGGGGGAGCCCCCAAAGCCCCAGAGCCCCCCCGCGAAACTTTAGTTGGTTTTTCCGTTTATTGTTTTATTAAAGATTGCAATGCGGCAGGAGGCGACTCCGACAGCAAAAAATACTCATAAAAATTGGGCTTAAAATTAAGCATGGAAATGGCTGAGAAAATATGACCCCACAAATCGCCTTAAACTGAACTCTAGATTCATTTTCCTTAAACTTTCAGAGGGCATCGTCGCGTACAGCATTCCCAAGGGCATGCAGCGGGGCATGGAAATCGATCTGTCGGACAAGACCTACGATGGCCATGAGGAGGCCGATCGCTATGTGAACGGTCTCGGCCAACTGGTGGACGGACAGCGGGGAAAGGACAACTTTCGCAATGATATCAATGGCTTTGGCAAAGGTAAGAGTCGTGTGTATCGTGTGTGATTTGTGTCGGCTTTAGATCTGAGAAGGCGGCAGCACTGGAGTGGTGTAGAGTGGAGTGGATTGGAGTCTGCTCCCCCGCATATGAGACTATAAATTGCACAAAAGGTAGTCCATGTAATTGTCACATAAACCAGTCTGTGGAGGAGCTCCCTGGACCCCTGTCTTGGGCATAAATGTCACATAAAATTGCCAACAACTAGACCATAGACCGTATACCGCATAACTAATGGTAGTTTTTGGAGTACTCCACAATACTCGTACTCCGTGTCCGTCGCATTTGGAGGTGTGCCAAAGAGGTGGAGGAGGTGTTCTCTTAGCTATGTTTCTAGCCCCGATATGAATGCTGGTAAATCCCTGAATTTTGTTAATCTTTTCGCTTCAGGTTATGAATGGATTGGCTGGCGGAATGACACTCTCTTGGGCCGCCCGGTGGAGATCACATTTGAGTTTGAGACTGTACGAAACTTCAGTGCTGTCATTATACACACGAATAATATGTTCTCCAAAGATGTTCAGGTAAGGAGATAAGATATAAACACCCGCCTTAAACTCTCGTCGATCCCCCAATAAATTCTATAAACACAGCGCATTCGTTCTCGAGTGTTTGGAAATCGTAAAAAGTAATAGCAGAGCACCCCGAACCGCGACACAGCTACAGATACACAGATACAGATACAGATACAATCCCCATTTGCCAGACAAACTGGCGGCAAAAAAACGGAGCAAATAAATGCCACAGAGCCACAGAGCCAATGCAATAATAAAATACAAAAAAAAAAAAAGGAAAAAAGAACAGCGCTATTTTATAAACAAAGCAAATACGAAATCGAACCTAAACAAACGGTAATTGATAGGAGGAGCGAGGAGGGACCTCAGGTGGTACTTGAACGGCGATAATAGAGGGGGGTGGGGGGGGAGGCACTTGCTGGAGGGTTACGAGGCACTGCACTACCATTATCGAGTCAATTTCCTTACTCGCTCGCGCATTGTCGGTCTTTATCGAATGTAAACAAACCATTCGAGTGCGCACACAGCACAGCACAGCGATTATAGACGAGAGTATATCTATATAAAAATGATTCGACCATGTTTATTTCTTTGTACGACCACAGACCAACAGCACACACAATTTTCAAGTCCATTGACCCAAATTACGCGACGTACGAGGGCCATGGAGAGTGGCAATGTGTTAACATTAACAGAATCGGCTTCAAAATCGGTCTAGAACGCAGAGCTATGGCCCCAACGACAGATAAGAACTGAAGAAATTAGTGGAAAAGTAAGGAATGGCTGGGGAAGTGGGGAGTGGGTGGAGTATTCAAACAATTTGAGGGGATCTTGGGGTTTTTATGGGTGGTAAGAATCACTAAAACTCCTTCTTCCACATTCGAATTTATGGGTATATTTCTAGTCTTTGAAAAGGTGTGTTTTCGAGGCAAAATATCTATCTTAAGGGCATGATAGAGTTGGTACTCTGTAAAACGATTCTTTATACCAAAACTAAGAGAAATATAGGCCGAAAAGATGTTCCAGAAAAGGGTTTTCTTAATACATTAATACTTCCTAGTCTAAGCCTTTCCTTTACATGTTTTTAAATACTTTTTCACAGATCTTTCATGGAAAATGGCGTGCCTAGGGTTTACTCCTCTATAACATACCAAAATTATATATTTCAGAATCTTATAAAAGGTGAAACTATAGCTTCTGTTAGTCTTTAGCTGTTTCCTTGGTCTTTTGCAATTTACTAGAATTTTTCTATAGATTTTTACCCGCACTTTTGGAATGAACGAAATTTAATTTAACAAAATCTGTCAAGTGTCAAGAACAACCCACACACCGGCACGCAAAACTTGTATGGAATGTAATTAAATGTAATTAAATGATGCCCCCCCCCATTGCTCCCCAGACGTCTTCTTCTTCTTCACATTCTGCGGGCAGGGGGTAGGGGGGATCGCTCCTCCGGAATGTTATAGTCGTTATTGCGTTGACCATTGGCCAGTTCGTTGATCTGCTTGGCGTGCGACACGGTGGCATTCAGTTCGCGCTTGAGCTTCATGCATTTCGTGCTCATGTCCACGTAGGAGCGGCAGACCTCTAGGCCGGTCCTGGCACCGCTGGTCCTGGCTTTCACCTCCGGCTCCGGCTCGGGCTTCAACAAGAAATTGCCACTACTTGGAGAGGAGCTCTCGGAGGGGGGACTCTCAACCGGAGCCCCATTGTATCTCCGATTCATACGTTCGACGATATTCAGGCAGTCCTCGAGGTTGTCCCCCAACTGCTTGCAGACTTCCAGGCCGGAATCGAGGCCGGTCTCCTCATCTCCTCTAAATGTATTCGATTTGAACATTTCGATTGTAAAATCTGTGACAGTCTCGAGTATCGTTTGACAGTTTAATAATTTCCTATGTTCTACCTTTCGATGTTATCTCTGGCTCTCTGTTTTTGGGTTTGAGGTGATATATGGTTTGGGCCCCCCCTCCCCCCTACGCCTCGCCAAGGCAATAGGCTTGTCAATTTGTGTCAAATTAATCAATGATTTCAGGGGGGTGGGGGGGAGGGTGGATATATAGGTCGTCTGTTGTAGCACCCTCGTAATTATGTTCAACTTTTATCGTAGCTCTCCTGTTGCCAGAGTTTTGCTCTGCTCTTGGGATACCTTTTCCACATCAAAGTCGCGCCGATTGCCTGATAAAAAGCCACAAATATGTTGGGGCATGTGATTTCTGATAGGTTTATAGGTTTATATGGGTCAAATAGGGTCAAATGGGCATTTATCTCTTGTTTAGACCCAGTCTTTAGTGGAGATCATTCCCTAATCATCTCAAAACAAAACACAAAATCCCCCAGCAATAATTAAGAGGAACACACGCATTTGATGGCCTTAATCGTGATCATAAATCAAGGGGGGACAGGCAGGCATTTAAAAGAGCAAACAAACAATATGATAGAGCCTTGGAGAGATATATGGAAGAGCGACCCCTCATTAGAAATGCTCAAGACAAACGCCCAAACAGAAGATCTCTCCAGAGAGGGCCTATCGATGGTGTGGCAGGTGTGGTGGCAGGTGCCCCACACGCATCTCACATAATTAAAACACAATTAGCATAATTCTCAAAAGCTTATCAAATGCATCATAAACGGCATTTTTCAGCCGCACAACCAGAGATCCTCCTTCTTCGCCTCCTCCGCGATGTAATTTGATGACTAATGGTACGTTTTGTGGCGGAGAAGAAAACTCTCGGCGCAAGCAAATGGTAATGAAAAATCATAAAAATAAGAATTATAGCAAGCGACGACACAGAGAGCCCCATCGTGCTTGCCACTGCTGCCACTGCCACTGCCGCCGCTGCTGCTGCTGCTGTAAATTATGGGGCAATGGCCATCCATGGCATAGGCCATAAACCGAATGGCCAGAGGAGTGTGTGGTGTGTGTGTGTTCCAGCGACCAGGTAGAGCTCCATCTCCACCTCCACCTCCACCTCCATTGCCACTCCAAATGGCGGCCACAAATCAAAGCCTCACAAGAAAATTTGTGGTAATTGAAATTTTATGTGCCGTTTGCCAATTGGTTTGTGGACTTTGTGGTTAATTAGAGAGAAAGAGAAGAAGCAGATGAAAGAGGGAGAGCGGGAGCGGGAGATCATGGACTGTGCGGCTAATAAGCATTATCTGGAGTGGACATCTGTTTTGATGACTCCTATAAGTGCCTAAGGCCGGGGAAGGCGCTTCCTAAATGCACAAACATTAAAGAAACCCGAGGAAATCTCTTTCGGAGCCTGTTTCGGACTTAAATTATGAATAAAGATACAACATACAGACATTTGAGGCCTATAAAGCTGGTTAATGGTTGAAGATTCAAGTGGATAAGGCAAGATGGAAGCTATAGGTTTTACGATGCACCTACAGGTATCTCTGGCGCTTATTTTCGATTTATGCATAATCTGAAGAATTTTAAACCATTCAGTGACCGAAAAACTCTTCTTCTGAAGCATTTTAAACTATTCAGTGATCGAAAAACGTTTCTTCTTTAAGCCAAAAAAGGTAGAATTTCCATTAAACTTTGGTTTTCTTGAAGAAACATAAAAAAACTTAATTTTTTGCGGAAGAAATTTCACCAGAAGGACTTTAAAGAATACTCTTACTACCCTGAAAACTCTTTCTAGAGCATTTCTTTCGTAATGATTTGAAAACCAAAGCAAACCAGCTCTGTTTTGGACTGGTCTCACTTCTAGAGATCGCAAGAATGTAGTTTTCCAAGAGCAGGTGGTCGTAGACTCAGGTTTTCATGCTGTTTGTGTGGTTTCTTCTCTCCACAAAGTCGCAAAATAGACGCCGTCCGAAGGCTAAACATCTTCTAACTTCCAACCCGAATTTTAGGCCCAAAATGTCTGAAGATCTTGCTGAAAACTGTGGGAACTACTCTGATGATATTCTACCCCTTTGGTGGAGCTACTATAACATTTAACATATAACATTTTCCATGGCAAAAGAATATACATTAAATTTATAGGCATATTCCATATCCATTGCAGAATTAATCTCTCATTCCCTGCCATTTAATACCATCTAATAAACAGCCTTCCGTTATTAAACTCCAGACAAAAGTTGTATTAAATTCCCATCGAACTACCATTCAAATCACAGACGAACCAAAAATCACTTTCAATCGATATTGTCGTCATTACCCTTTTTTGGGGGGGGGGGAGGGGCTCAACACCTTTCGTGCCACAGAACCCAACACCTTTTGGTAGTCCAACGACTGCAACGACAACTCATTAGCCCTTCCCCTTCCCCATCCGCAGACAACACTTACACATCCGGCTGGCACGGGCACCGGCTTTGGGCAGCCCCTGACCAAAATTGAATTGTCGTGGAGTACCCCCCTTATCCCCCCTTCTTTCTTTCTTTCTTTTTATTACAAACAACTTCCGTGGTCTGGGGGCCATAACTGAACTTTGGCACTGACCAAAAGTGTCGGGAAAGCAGGCAGTCGCCGCCTGAATACAGAAAATACGGAAAACCTTTTGGGCTACGATGATGATGTGGGAATACTCTAACCTTGAGTATCGTTTGGAGAGTAGAGAGTTTAATCATTCTAGAGAAAGCAGGCCTAAAACTTGCATCAAATGTTGCCCTAAAACTATGTATACCCCTTTCTGGAAAGGGTATCTGTAATATGATGATTACTTTAATTATTATGCCACTCACAGACACAGAACAAACAATGTATGTGCATATGAAAGAACCAAACAGTTACTCATCCATCGTGTGCTCCTCTCTTCCCCCCCTCTGTCTCTCCCTCGGTCTCTTTGCAGGTGTTTGTCCATGCCAAAGTCTTCTTCAGCATCGGGGGACGACAGTTTGGCGGGGAGCCCGTACAATTCTCGTATATGCCGGACCTGGTGCTGGATCATGCACGCGACGTGACAATCAAATTACATCATCGCCTGGGGCGTTATCTGCAGTTGCATTTGTATTTCGCCGCCCGCTGGATGATGCTCAGCGAGATTACGTTTATATCAGGTAAGCGCCACACCACACCACACCCCCCTACCTCCCTACCTCCCTCCTCCCCACTGGCGCCCCTACAGAGAGCGGGGGCACAGTGCCTGTGCAGAAATTGTTTTATTAAAAAATGTAACACTGGCACGCAAAAAGCGCGAGGAACGAACCAGCAGATAAAAGGGTTAACTGGGTTGTCAGCCTCCCTCCCCCGCACCCCCTCACACACACTCTTTGGATACCTCGTTGCAGTTGGGGGATATATGTATGCTCTCTATTGGACATCTCCTGAAGCTGCATCTTGCCTCCTCCATTCCGATTACTGGTTATATCAGAGTCGAGCCATCTCCTCCCGTTTTTGCGGGCCACATGGTGCGACATTTGTGCCACCTTGACAGAGAGAGAGATGGAGAACGGGGAATGGGTGCCCACAGGGAGCGGTTTATTGTTTGTAGTTTAAATTAATTTTTATGTCCGTGCTGTTGACTTGTTAGTGGGGACTTGGGAGCCCCAAGGATGTGCGTGATTAAAGCTCAAACAGAGACAGAAGGAGAGCAGAGTGGGAAATGATTTTAAAGTGCTAGTTATAGAAGTATCTGGCGAGACTTCCCTGCTAGTTATTTGCATTCCTAAAGAGTTTAAGCATCCGAAAGGATCATCAATTCCCTTTTTGTACTTTGGTAATAGTCTCCTTTCTCTTGGGCAACGTACAATTTACGGCATTTGCTCGCATGCATCTCCCCCCTTTTACCCCTTTACCCTTTAACCCCCCCATGTACGATATGTAGAGGGGCTCGACTCTCCGCCTCTCATCTATTCGAACAATCCGAACGAACAGTAAACATAATTTAGCCCAGGCAAACTGCAAAAACAACAGCCAGACGGACAGACGGGGAGACGGGGAGAGGGGGAGGCTCTGCTGCCCTGTTCTGCTCTGTTCGGGGGCAAGCTCTTCAAACATAAACTGCAATTGCAACAACTGCAACAACAACAACAAGAACAACTTTGAGCAATTGAAAATTCCCACTGACACTAAAAATTCGTTGCGCATTTCATTAAAAACAAAAAAAAAACCCAGCACAGAGAGCTTCCAGACTCTAACTAGAACTCGGCGAGTTCTACCTCTCTCTATGTCTCGATGGTGCAAAATATATTGCTACACTGAGAGAAACAGAAGTTCTTCATGCTCGTGAAATATATTAATTATTTTTACATTTTTCTTAGCACGATACCGAAAACATACCGATAAAAAGTATTTAAAATACTGCAAATATACCAACAAAATACTGCAAAAGTACTGGTTTATTTAAAATAAATACTAAAGGCGAAATACTAAAAAAATTAAATAAATAAATAGCTGAAAATACCGAAAATATACTGAACTAAATCCTGCACAGATACTGAAAATAAACTGATAATTATCTTAAAATACTGGATAAATACTGAAAATATCCTGAACACAACAAAATCAATTAACAAATAAAAATTAATATAAATTCTGAACAAATACTGAAAAATACTGAAAAAACCTTAAAGTATTTAAAAGTGATTAAATACTGATTCACTTGAAATATACTGCATACTGAGCGGATACTGAGTCAATACTAAACAACACAAAAAATTTACAAAAAAATAAAAAAATATACTGAAAAAATAACCCAAAAAAAACTTTTATATTCTCATAATAAACCAATCAAAAAGTACAAAAAAAAAGATCAATTTGAATCGATACGATTCTATTTCTAAAAAAATACGGAGAAAATACTAAAGAAATTCTGGTCGAACTGAGGAATCGAAGCGTACAAATGTATATACCAGATATATACCAGAACTAAAGCCACTATATTACATTTTCCTCTCAGAATCCCATCTTAAAAAGGATTCTATTTCTTAATTTTGTTTATTTTTCGGAAACTTTTTGCTAAAGAACCCAATGTTTTTCCTCAGTGCATCCACAGAGGATGAAAATAGGAATAACTATGTCTGCGATGTGTGCGTGTGTGTGTGTAGGCTATGAACCAATTTTTACTTAACTCTGGGATGAGTACGAGTACTCGTACGAGAGTACAAGGGGAATCGGAGCGGAGCTCCTGGTGGCTTTGTTTTCCCTGCTCTGCCCTGTGCCGTGTGCCGTGTGCCCTCTGCCGTGTGCAATTGTGCATACAGTGATACAAAGCAGGCGAAGGACTCTAAAGGGAGGAAAAGGAATGTGCATTGCAACAGGGACAGAGAGGAAACGGAAGAGCTCTCACACACACACACACAGTCGTACGAGCAGCAGCTTCGACTTTGCCACGCATATGCTTCACTAGAAACACTAGAACCCAGGAGCAGAAGAGGCAGAACCAAAGCACAAGGATATTGTGAAAATTAAATGAGTTGCATTACTTTTGTGCATTTGAAATTTGCAACTCAATGAGCAGTGCAGTGCCGTGCCGTGCCGTGCCGTGCAGTGTCGAGACCCTCTGAAGGAGGATATGGGGATTGAGAGGATTGGTTAAGGGCTGCAAATCGCAGTAGAGTACATCGTGCTTTCCTGGCTTCCTGCTTTCCCTGCTTTGCCTGCCTTTCTCTCCTGCTTTTCTTTTTTTTTCGCCCGTTGCATAATAAAGCAGTGCTTGCCTCTGTGCTGCTTACCGCTCTATGGGAACATTTCGAAATAGTTTGATGTCCGATAATGAGGTTTTTGGTCCAGCAGATATATTTGCATCTGTCGATGGGGTGCTTTCAAGATTTACACGGCTCTAAGAGGGTCTTAAAGGGGTTTTGGTTAGTTAGAGTTGCCTTTGGAGGGTTCGAATTCCTTTTAAAAAACCCTAAAGGGTATTCCCCATTTTATGCTTCTACACTTCATGGAAATTTTCATCTGTTGTTTGGGTTTTTCCTTCCATTGGCTCTGCTGCTTCGTTGCAGATTTATTTTCCATGGCATTTCCGCTGCCCTGTTCCCCTCCCCGCCGGTGCTGCTCCCTTTGTTTCCCTTCCCCTTGGCGTATTTAAGCCATGGCAAGTGCTTTTGCCTTTGTAAATCAATAACATTGCATCTGCATATAGCACTCGTATCTGTATCTCTGTGTCTTATATCCTGCTTGGATTTTTTGTTTGTTTTTGTCTCTCTTTGGGATTTTGATGCATTTGGCATTCAGTCATTCCGTCATTCGTGCAGGAATTCATTTCAATAACTTCGCTGCTGCTGTTCCGCTTTAAATCCTTGTGCAATTTGCCTCGCTTAATCCTTTCTAATTGAAAATCGCTTTGTATGCGAATGTGAGAGCGATATGGACGAGTGCTTTGTGTGTCATATCCGATGCAGAGACATCTCTATAGAAAATCCCCTTCAGGCTCCACTCCGCTCTCCACTCTCCACTCTCCTCAGCTCAATTCAATTGATTCTCCTGATGCTTCCACCCATCTTCTTCATCATCTCTGCCCTTGAGAGCACTGGAGCATCATTTTGGCGTTTTACGAATAGATTCGTCTCGTAATTTGCTTAATGGCAGCAGCAGCAGTAGTGGCATTGCATTGATATTGAAAAAGCATTAAGGCTGCTAAATGTATAATTTTCAAGTGGTTCCAACAGGCCAAGGATATTGCCAGACAATGAGCTTCTAATGGGAGGTTCTAGTGCAGATTATCGTCAAGAGTTATCTCTTAATTAGAGCAGGTTTTTCTAGGAATATTTATCTTATTATTACAGAAAATTCTGTGGCAGGTAAAGGTCATTGGGGATGCAATTAAAAGAGCTTCTGATGAGCAGAATTCTTGCCATTTTTAGATTTAAAGAGTCCTTTCAGTGTTTTATGGTGAAAGAAAGTAAGAGAGGATCTAAAGACGATATAATTTCTATAATTTTTGACTATTTGGTAGAAAATATCACAATCTATTCAGGTTTTGTAGGCTTTATTTTGATCTAAAGAATAGTTTTCAATATTTCTGCTAAAGGAAATCGAGAAGAGTGGAAGGTTTGATGTTCTGGGAACTTGTTTTCTTCATTCTGGATTCATTCTTCATTCGGTTCAAAGCAGAGTTTCTCCAGAAACTTATAGGGATGGTATGTTGAAGGAATATATTGATATTTTGTGGCATTTAGCTGAAGGCTAACCCTGATTAATAATAGTTGTTATTGCATGCCCAAATCAGGCAAAAGTACACAAAATCTGATGGAGAATATGCTTCCCCCTGACTCTCAGATATATTTCCAAGAATAATCTAAAATTCGAATCATTCATCTGGCATTCCATAGTTCTCTAAACACCAAAATTTGTACTCTCGGTAGAGGGGGGGAGGGGGGCCACACATTAACATACTCGTATATTCACGGTTTACTTCATCCAACATATGACGCTCCTCAAAATTTGGTTAGCTAATGCCGTGGGATCCTACCGCATCCCGCCCTGGAAAATGTTCCCATTTTGCCAGACACTTTTCCGGGGGAAAACAAAACATTTTCCACCGTCGTCGCTATTTGCATAGCAAATTCAAACACACAGAAAAGTAAACAAAAAACAAAAACTTTTGTTGCCAAAGAAAATAGACGTCCCCCCCCCACCCAAAAAAAAAAAGGAAAGGGAAAGGGAAGGGAAGGAGGTTTGACGTTTCAGCCAACAGAAAACAAACTCAAAATCAATGCCAAGAGCTGAAAAAATTTGCATTTCCCTCAAGAGTTTTTTTTTTCTTCCCGAATTTATACTAAAAATTGTCCGTTTTCCGTTTTTGTTTTTAAATATCGAAGAGGAGGGGAAGGGGGGAGGGGCCGAGGATCCGGAGTATTTTTTGGGGGAAAGTTCAACAAACGCTCGAGGCGGAAATGCAGTCCGAAACGTATCGGAGAAAGGATATAGAAAAACAGAGTCCCCAATCCTCCCCCCTCCCCCCACCCCCCATTCCGATGGGTAAACATTTCTGGGGATATCCTTTCCTATCGATATTGTTGCTGCTGCTGTTATTGACGACTGTCTGGCGTTTTTCCGATGGTTTTATTCGTTCTGTTCTGTTTTTCTGTTTTTGTCTGCGTCGGGGAGCAAAATGTCAACACCGATGGCAAACAATCCGATGGCATACGCTTCAACGCCTTAAAGTCGTGAGTATCGCATCGTTTCCGCCGTGGCTGCTGCTGCCGGCACTGCACCTAAAAGTATGCAGCACTAATTGGCACTCAACTTGTTTCTGCTCTTGTGATACCCAGTAGTCCGTGAAGTTCGGCTCGAACGTAGGGCATGATGGGTACACTGTACGGTGTGTTGTCTGTGGTAGAAGCCATAAGGCATTTCTGATATATTTAGAGTCCATAGCGCACTCCGTACAGTGCCGTCCATCGGTATATGTACAATTATTGCATTTATATCTCGGAAAATCTAAAATCTATTGTTGCAAATTGTTTAAAAAAATTGTATAAGAAACCATAAGCAAACACTAAAAATATAATATTTAAAACAATAAAATAAATACCACAAAAACTAATGGGAAATTCCAAGCCATTTGACACCAAAAAATACTACAAAATTAATACCAAATAATACAAAATAACTAATGCCACAAAATACTAAAAAAATTAGAACCAGAACAATACAGAACAATATCAAACATCTTTTAATAATCGAAAAAAAAAACAATTTTTTCTTAAAAATCTCCTAAAATCTTCAAATAATACAAAAAAAATGAGTCCCAAATAAAAAGAATAATAATAATACCAAATAATACTAAAAGCAAAAAATACCAAAAATGTTGCACTTAATAATCGACAGAAAAAAAAATTATTTTCTAAAAAATCTCCTAAAAGAATCGCGCTGATAAAATAACAAAAGAAAATACTAAATAAATACCTAAAATAATATATTCTTATATATTTGTTTCTTTTTATTATAAAACTTTTAGAATTTATTAAAAATTAATGAGTAATTTAAAAAAATACCAAAAAATACAGAGGCTTAAGGGTCACAGAAGTATACTCGAAAAATACTAAAGAAAAAGTTCAAAATGATGTACTTTGTACTCTACTTTTTTCTCTGTTAATGCAATGCAAAAATTACCATCTTTAATGGATTCCCGTAATTACGGAGTCATATTTTGTATACTTTTAAGATTATACGAGTACAAAAATTAAAAAAGATGTTAAGAGAATCCCATACTTGGGTATCCCCATAGTCGATGCACTCGACTTTTTGCTCCTTTTTTCCTTCTTCATCCTATCCTATCCTTTGCCACTCATCAACGTCGACATGGTCCTCGTCTTTGTCGTCTCCGTCTCCGTCTTCGTCTTCTCCGTCGTTGTCGTCGTCGTCGTAGCCGGGCGCTGATATGACATGAAGAGCTTGCTCATTTATCATCATAATAATCGCTCTCCATGGCTCTGCCGCCCACCACCCCCTAATTGCTGGTGGAGACCCATTAGCCATGGCAGTATATCAAGGCAGAGGGGCAGCTGTCACACAGCCACTGCCACTGCCACTGCCACGCCTCCACTATCATCATCATCATCATCATCATGCCACCTGGCGGTGGCTGCATTTCGCCACTTGGCTTGCAAATTTCCCGCTGTATCTTTTCCTCTACATCTCCCCCCGTGTACTGTAAGATACTGTCCTTAGCCTCAAGTCTTAACCTACATTCTTTGGCTCTCGCTGTCTTCTTTTATCCTCTTGCAGTGCCCGTGGTCGGCAATTTCACGGATGAGGGCCTGCTCAATGGCATCAGACAGCCGTCGGACACATCGGAGTATCCGCTGCAGCGCGATGAAGTCGGCCGAGCGGTCAGCAGCGGCGAAAGGAGCCAACATACCACCCAAGGTAAGTGGAGTGATTTGAGGTGATGGATTCGATTCCGCCGTAGTAGTTGTCCGGGCATTTGCTGATTAATTGTGGTTTCAGTTCTCTGTAACTGAATTAGCGGAGGGAATGGATGGTAGGGGAAATTACTTGATGAAAGGTGGTGACTTTTCTGGCCGAAAACCCACAGAGCCACCATCACCTTTAATTATTTTCCTCTATTAAAAACTACCTTTTAACCCAAAATAAAAGTTTACGAGAGAGCTGGAAAGTTTTCCCTCGAATATTACTACTTAGAGCCGCACTCTCATTAGCCCCAGAAGCAGGGCAGAGCCGCAGGGCGGGGCAGGGCAGGGCAGGGCAAGGACTCATCATTTGCAGTAGACAAAAGCTCTGAGCTCTGAGCTCTGGAGGCAATTGAAAATATCAGACAATAAAACAGCGAGAGAAGCGGCAAAAAAGGAATAAGAATTCATTAATGCTGCAATATTCCATTCTCACTGTGTCCTGCATCCTGTATTTATATATCCTTTCTGTTTCTCCATAGTCATCTCTCCGAAACCCATTGACCATCAGGAAGTGGAAGCGGCTGGTTTTGTTGGCGTCATAATCACAGTCCTGGCAACAATTATTCTCCTGCTTGTCGCCATTATATTGCTGATTGTGGCACGGAACAAGCGCGGACGTGGCAGGGGCAACGTTTTGGATGCATTTCAGCATAATTTCAACCCGGACACGCTCGGTGGCATCGATAAGCGACTCTGCCACACCGGCAACGGCAATGTCCTAAAGGTAAGCGCCTAAAAATCCACAATCCACAGACCACTCACCCTCTTCTGGGCCAAAAAACTCCGAATGGGCTTACATGCAAAGTGCATAAATTGATGCTCCTACAGCTCCTACTGCTCCTACATCCTGGCCACGGGGCAGGGCCCCATCTGTTCGGTGTATGGGCTGGACCACCCAGAATGCATGTCAAACATTGAGGCAGCAAAAAATACAAAAAAATAGAGCCTTAACGCAGGAGCACACACCAGAAATCATGATTAAAAACTGTAGTAACTGGCATTCCAGAATGCAGCAGCACGAAAAACTGAACAGAACACTTTTTCTCACTTTTCTCACTCACTATCTGGTGCAATTTTTAACTCCCTCTCTCCCTGCCGTCGCTCTGCCCTCCGCTCTGCACGTCGCTGTGCCCCTCAGGTGGTCACAACAATGGATGACAATGAGTCGTCCATTGACAAGAACAGTCTGTACCATGAGCCCTTCAATGTGAACATGTACACCAGTGCGGCCAGTGGATGCTCCATGAATGACCTGCAGCGTCAGCATGTAACGCCGGACTATACAGGTGAGTCCCCCTCCCCGCCCCTACTCTCCCTGCACCCTCTTTATCCATATATAGGATGATGATGATGATGGGATACGAGATGCACCGTCTATGACAATGATGTGTGGGCTTCAGCCACTGCCACCGCCACCGCCACTGCCACCGCCACTGCCCCATCTTGCCCGTCAGCCATAAAACTCGGGCGCTGTGGCTCACAGCATGGCACTTGACTCTCTCCTTCCCCTCTCGCACGGCTGCTGTGGCCCTGATGGTGTCGCCTCTTGATGAGTTTGATGTTTTGCGTCCTGTCTGTGACAGGACATGCAAATGTTCATCCTGCAGGCCATGTTGGGATGCCAGGGCACACAAAAAAAAAACAGAAACGAAAAAGAAACGCCACTGAGAAAGCAATGCTTAATTTAGCGCACAACATGGATCCTGAAAGTTCGCTGGCAGTTGCCACCAGGTGGCAAGAGGCAGGCGGCAGGTGGCAGGTGGCAGGTACTGCCGAAGTAGCACAACAAAGAAACTGGACCCCAAAAAAAGACCAAAAAACACATGAAAAAAATGATGAAGAAGAAAAGACCTTTTGGGTACGCGCATTGTGCGCACCGCAGGACATAATTTTGAATTGCTGAGTCAGACGGTAGTTCCAGTAACCGTTACTCTCGCCGAAGCGGGCATAGGCGGAATCCTGTCCTTTTGGGGTTATGTAAATGGTGGCATTGTGTTGACTGTAAGATGTAGTATTTAATCTGCCATATCGAATACTAAAAAATACTAAAAATACTTTAAAAAAAGAATACTACAACAAATAGAAGAAAAAACTTTAAAAAATACCAGATGGTACTAAAAAAATACAACAAAAAATACCACAGAATTTCATAAAGTTTAACGTTTTTAAAACGAAACTTTAAACAAAATTTGTAATTGAAAACTCTACGAAAACTATTAAAATATTAGTAAGAAATAATACATCAAAATACTAAAAAAATCAAAAATAAAAGTTGAAAAGAAAGTAGAAGACAACACATACAACATTAAAAATTCGAATTAAATATAAAAAAAAATCTTTAAAAAATACTTTAAAAAAATCTTAAAAAAATCTTAAATAAAACGGTAAAACACTAGGCATAAAAGCAGGAATTTAATACGTTTTGGCAAATTCTAGACCCCTTCTAGGGCTTCTATTTTGTTCTTGTTTGTTCTTTACAATCTTCCATTCCAAGGATAATTCATTGGTTAAGACCTTTAGAGGGCTTAAAATAGTTCCATATCTGTCCTCAGAAAATCAATCAAGAAACACTGTTTATATCTGCAATCTATAAGTTCATCCGCTTCTCTGAATTTTAATCGAAGAAAACCCCTTAAAATACAATTCATATTCAATAAAATCCTGAGAAATCTCTACAAAATCTGCCCTTCTATATCTTAAGCTTCTAAAATCTTTTCGACTTTCATCAAAAGCCATGAAAATCCTCAAGAGTATCAACACTTTTCATCATGCGGCCGTAGTCACAATTTTTTGCCCAGTATCTAGTTTTTTCTACTGCCACACAGAGGACACGGAGGACACAGGACATGTGTGGCACATGTGTTTTAATTGCCAGATGGACTGCAGGGAGCTGCAGTTAGGAGTTTACGACCTCTGCTACGTAAATTGTAATGAATTCTAATGTCTTCTGTCCGGTTCGTTCGTTTCACATTTCACATTTCACATGGAGACGCCTGGAGGGCATGCTAGACAATTTTTTGGTCTCTTTGGGCTTTGGGCTTGGGGCTTGGGGCTACGGGGCTTGGGGCTACGGGTTACAAGCAACGAACGGATGCAGGCACAAAGGATTCACATTGTTTTATGAACATTCCATGGCATAGCCACCACCTCATATTTTCAACAGCTCATCCTTCTGTCTGCTGCCACATCTTTCGGCTCATTCGGAATCCTGCCTCATCTGTAGCTCGTCCAGCCACCCGCCTCATCTTCCCGCCTTCCCCTCTGTATCTTCCGGATCTGCTACTCCTGCTCATCATAAACGTTTATGGCACGCCTTTCATGCGCTCGAGTCATTTGCCAAAAACTTTTCTGATGTTGCCTTTGGGTGCATTTTATAACTGGCCAGCAAATATTTGTCATAGCTCTATGCCTCTGCCTCTGCCTCTCTGCCTCTGCCACTCGTCTGATCCTCTTCCTGAAAGGATGTCTGGCTGGCTGGCTGGCTGCTTGCTATAATAATTTAATTTAGCTCAAATAAATTATAAGTCTGAGAGACCCCCACAGACCTCGTCACAGTCTCGCGCGCGCACATCGCACGCGCCACAAAATTGAGTGCTTCAAACTTCTCGCTCTCTCTCTCGGAAAACTCCAGCTGGGAAAAGTTCAGAGCTAGTCCACGACTCACTCAAATTAAAGTCTATTTTTGAAGTCAACTGCCAATTTGCACGACCAGAGAGCGGCAGAATGCCACAAACTTAATAACATTGCATGCAAATAAACATGGCAATAAGGAGCGTGGAACGAGGAACGGGGAACGGGGAGACCGAGGATAACGAAGGAGAGGCCAGGCACGAAAGTCGTTTAAAAGCAGGTCGACCCATACACGAGCCCGAGAGTCTTGTATACTCTGACAAAATCCCACATTCAAAGGGAAATCCAATTTATGAATCGTCTTGGAAATGGCTTTATTTGTAGGGATAACTCAATAGAGCAAATATTTAGTTTAGAGAAGAACTGGGCCAAGGATTAGGCATAAAGGATTAGGATTGACTTGTTGGACACGTTAAGACACGTCTGGTAAGAAATCTTTTTTATTTTTCAAGATCTAAAAGATTCAGCCTCTCAAATCTTTCGAGCTCTGCCGAGCTCTCTCTAAAATTCTATAAAAATTCCTCTACAAAATCGTAGGGTAATTGCTGAAATGTTTTTGTGCAAAATGTTCTACAAGTTTGAATACGGAATACTCGTACGAGTGAGGCCACAAAACTTCAGTGGAACTTCAAAAACTGGTGGGGGGGTGGGGGAGGGCACTGATTGCACAGACATATACATGCATATAGACAAGATACAGATACAAATACACACACACACACACACACACACAGAGAGAGCATACTCGTCGTACATTCGGTTGAAGAAAACTTGCATACGAATTTCGCTCAGTCGTCGAAAAGTTTTGTCATTAACGTTTGTTGAGTGTCTGTCTGTCTGTCTGTCTGCCTGTCGCTGTCTCTATCATCCAAGCTATGGGGCTTCTTGCTGTCTCTTTTGCACTCTCTGCAGCCCGCTCAGTCTCCATCTCTATGGCCCTCTATTTCCTTCATTCTCTGTCTGTTATTTTATGTTTTTCTGGTACTTTTTGGACACAAAAACGAATGCAAAAATGACAGCAGGCCCCCTCCGCCCCGCAAGAAGCGAGAAAATGGGGCGCACACACACAGACACACACACACACACACACACGAAGGCGAAAACTAAATAATATTATTACAACAACAATAAAATTAAAAGTTCTCCCTCTTTCGCTTGCTCTCTCCCTCTTTCGCTCTCTTTCGTCCAAGTTGCAATTAATTTCATTTAGTTTTTCGCCACACGCCATTTTGGCCCCCCGCCCCCTACCACTCCTGCCCGACCCCACCAAGGTTTCCCTCCTCCAAGGTCTTGGGGTTTTCCTTCTTCTTTTTTGGGGTCTAAATGGGAAAAGTTTGAAGTTGAAGGCAGAAAAGTCTCTCTCGGACTTTCAGGACAAGACAAATGCAAAACCAGGGAAAGGGGGGAAAGGGGGGCAAAGGCGGGGGACAAGTGTTCGAGCCAAAGGAAATGTTGAGGAAATGGCAAATGCAAAAATCTTCACAAATGCAAACCATTGCACTTTGTGGCCTGTCGTTTGAGTTTATTGGCTCGAAAGGGGGAAGGGGTATGGGTAGGGGTAGGGGGAGGGACAGGGACACAAGTCTACACAAAAGCATATGTGTTGAGAATTAAGGAAAAGTCTTGGAAGAAAGGGTAGAATGTGTGAGAAAACTTACCTTAGGGCTTGTGGAGTAATGTATTATTCGTTTAGAGATACAAAAATAGCTGAATAATGATCGAATGGAAAGTTTTTAAAGGGTTAAACTTACCTGAAAATGAAAGAGATATAGATATATTATAGATGGAAAGAAACAAGGCATATTAATGGGGGATACAGTACTTAAAAGATATATCGAAATAAAATTAAAAATTTGAAAGGCTAAAGAATATTTCTTTCAGATTAAAAAAAAATATACATTTAAATGTGAAAAAGTGCAGCGAAAATCTTAAATCACAGAAAATATACATATTTCAGAAAAACCTCACTGAAAAAATATCCAAAGCTGAAATAAATATTAAATTTATGGAAAGATAGAATCAACTGTGCAAAAATTATATTTCCACCATCATTTACTTATTTATTTTTTATTGATTACTATAATAAGGGGCAAGCCTCTGTCTCACTCAAAAAAAAAATACCCTCCATGGACATAAATTTATTGAGAGTTTAAGAGCAAAAATTATTTGGCGGCCAGACATTTAATTTTTTATCCTTTGAATAAAATATCGAGTAACGATCCAAAATAATTTCTAAATATATATGAATAAAATAATGAAAAATATATAATAAAATATGAATAAAATATTGAGCAACGATCCGAATTATAAAATATCAAAAAATTTCCAAATATTGAATTAATTCTGCAATATTTTAAATTAAAAAACATAAATTTTAAACATATTTAAAGATATTTCCATCAAGAAATTCACTTTCGTGAAAGGCACCTCCAATTCTTTGAATGAAAAACCCGAAAATTCCGCTCTGGAAAAGTCTCTTTCCCAAAGAAAAGTCGCTTCCAAGACATAAAGTCCTTATTTGAGTGCTGAAAATTCGAGTTTCCTGCAATTTTAAGTACATTTTTAAGAATGTTTCTGGAAAGTTTCATTCCTGAAAATTTGTCGCAAACTATTTCCAAAAACTTGATTTTCATGAAAAGCTCTTTGCCCTTAAATGTATATTTGGAAAACGCACTCTCTCTCCCACTCTCTCTCTCTCTCTCTAGCGAACTACCGAACTTTATAACTCTCTAAAAAGCGTAACCTTATTTTATGAGAGTCGAAAGAAAAGTCTTGCATTTTCCCACTGCTCGCTTTTCTTCTCTCTCTCTCTCTCTCTCTCTCTCTCTCTCTCTCTCTCTCTCTCTCTCTCTCTCTCTCTCTCTCTCTCTCTCTCTCTCTCTCTCTCTCTCTGTCTCTCTCTCCCTTTCTCATTTGTATAATCCCATTTTTTTGTGTGCAACTTTTATTCGTCTGGCGCTTAAAAAAGTTTTATTGTTTAGTGAGGTTAAGTTTTTCCAGAGTTTTCGCTGGCATTTTCCAACCATTTCTACCCATTTTTACGGTCAAAAATTAACACTATCTTACTCTCTCTCTCCCTCTGTTGCTGTCTCTTTCAGATGTACCGGACATCGTGTGCCAGGACTATGCGGTGCCGCACATGCAGCAGCTGCTGCCCAATGGTGCACCTCCTCCGCCTCCGCCTCCTGCTGTCGCTGCCATTCCCGGCAGCAATGGACCCTCCGCCGGCATCGTCGTAACCACCAGTGCACGCAACTCTCTTAATGCTGCCACGCTACCGCTGCCCCTGCCCCTGCCAGTGCCAGTACCCATGCCCGTGGCATTGCCTGGTGGAACCCTGCCGTTGCTGCCACCGCCGCCGCCTGTGCCACCGCCGCCGGAGAAATATTATGCAGCCACACCAATTTGCAGCAAACCCATGTCCGTGCCGCCACCGGGCTCCCAGAGCAGTGGCTCGTTGAGTCTCAGCTCCTCGACAACGGCAGCGACCACGCCTACGGGCATCAGTGGCGGCGGGGGAGTGGGCACCATTGTGGGTGGCGCTGGAGGTGGAGGTGGAGGTGGCTGTGGCATCAAACCGCATCATTACAATTTGGATATGAGCGCTAATTTCGCCGACATTAACGAAGAGCAGGCCAATTGCCAAGTGCAGGAGTTTCCACGTCAGTCCCTGGTCATCGTCGAGAAACTGGGCTCCGGCGTGTTCGGGGAACTGCATTTGTGCGAAACAAATGTCCTGAAGTAAGTATCCTGCACACACAGCGAGAAAAGGGGAACCCAATGCCGGTTCCCCCAGTTTCCCCCAATTCTCCTGTTCATTTTTCCTGCTGTGGATTGCTGCGGAGGCCTAATCGAGTTGCTGTTTGTGGGGCACACAGGCACACAATTTTTTGGTTTGCAGCTGCATTTGAAATGAGGGATTTTCCAGGGAAAATGAGGTTCAGATTAACAGAGAGTTTTCGAGGGAATGAAGCTCCCTTAGTGGCTGCCATTCTTCTATTTCCCTTTGAGCCTAGAATATTCTTTAATAATTCCCTTAAATTCCATCATATTCGCCTCAAACCCAAAAAAGGCCCCCCAGCAAATAATCATCTACGACAGCTCTGTGATTCCTACTCTATCGCATGCCTATTCCTATTTTTAACCACAAAACCTTTGCTCTCTTTGCAAATCCAATTACACTCAAGAATCCTCGACTCCGCAGCACTCCATGCCTCTGCCATTCAATTGAAATATATGCCCATGACAATTGCTACCTCTGATTCCTGGTTCCGTTTCTATTGGTTTCGCAATGCAAAAATCAATTAGAGTCCAAGGCTTCGGGAACAATGTCCTAGTGTTTCTGGCCAATATGCAGAGACGGAGCTGCATGGTCTGGCCTGTCCTGTCTCCTGGCACATTTTAATATGTTACTCAACGTAACAATTCGATTTGCCTGCTTGCTTTAATAGTTTTGCGGTTGGAAAGCCACAAAACGTATTACGTATACGTAATATTGCACCAGCAGATGCACAGAGGACGCCACACAAGAGACAGAGAGATGGTGGGGGGCAGAGGCAGGAGTGCCAGGAGAGGCTGCCAGTAGACCACTGCAGTGGCTGCAAAAACCAGCAGAGAAACCTCACAGTTACCCAGACAGACGCAGACCAGACCAATAGATAGATAGATAGATATGTAGATAGATAGATAGATAGATGTATGCAAAATAATTAACACTCACACACACGCACAGGCACAGGCACAGACGCAGATAGATACTCCTGGCAGTGGCGTGCAGTTGGACAACCAGAGGATTGCCACTCTTCGAGTGCCCCCTGTCCTTGCCGCCTGGGGCACGGCTGGATAAAATATTAATAGACAGCTGGATAGACAGTTATCAGACAACAGATGGACTTTATTGTCCACAGGACCACAGATGAAAATTATAATAGACATTTTCCGAGCTCGAAAATCAAAGCCACAATTCACGCACATCGCAACGAACAGGATATGTGAAGGGAAAATGGTGAGGGAAAGCCAGCCCTTACCCGTTGATATTTGGTTACAGTCGAAAGTACTTCCAAAAAGTGGGCATATGGATGGGTATGCTCTTGTCTTTTGTTTTGTGGGTTACAAGCCCAAGAGATCCTTTGGCAAGTGAACCAAACGTTCAGGCTTCAAGCGGAGCACTGCTTGAATAGGGACAAGCGAACCAAAGATTTGGCTAAAGACGCTGAAGCAGTTCAATCGAAAGCGAACCACACCTTCAGGTTTCAGGCGGAGCACTGCTTGAAACAAACAGTGAATGATTGAACAGTCAATGCACTGCTTGCAGTCGATAGGAAACTTTCAGGTTTCAGCGGAGGACTGCTTGATCGGTTGATTTGATTGAAGGTAAAAGAATGGTTGATTTTCTTGAAGGATCATTGATCTTGGGCGACTCTACTGCATCTTTGGGGGTAATTTTTCAGAAATTCATAGATAGTTCTGGTATATTTAATAAGGAGTATTTTATTTGGGTATAGTTTTAATATATTTCTGGAATAGTTACTAGTATATTTTTGGTATATTTCTAGTATATTTTTGGTATATTTCTGGAATGGTTTCTGGTATATTTTTGGTATATTTCTGGAATAGTTTCTGGTATTATTCTAGTATATTTTTGGTATGTTTCTGGAATAGTTTCTGGTAATTTTTAGTAGATTTTTGGTATATTTCTGGAAAAGTTTCTGGTAAATTTCCAGAATAGTTAATAGTATATTTTTGTAATGATTCTGTTATAGTTGCTGGTAGACTTTTCGTTATGTCTATAATAGATTCTACTATATTTTTGGTATATTTCTGAAACAGTTTCTTGTAAATTTCTTAGATAGTTTCTGGTATATTTTTGATAAATTTTTGTAATAGTTTCTGGTATATTTCTGTAATATTTTCTGTTACATTTTTGGTATATTTCTTGCATAAATGTAATAGTTTCTGGTATATTTCTTGATTTGTTTCCAGACTATTTCTAGTATATATTTGGTAAATTTCTTCATCTTATTCTGTACTTTTTTTATATATTCCCGATAGAGTCTTGAAAATTCTGTGCACTAAAAAATCTAGAAAAATCCACCCAGCCCTTCGAAAAGCTATTACGAATATATGTATTTGCGTAAAATACTGACCACAATCCCCTTCTGAGCCCTTCGTGATCTTTCGTGACCATCCCCATCTCTGTATTCCCTCTCTTTCATGCATAATGTGCAATAAAAAGCTTCAATTAAACGGAACACAAAACGAAATCAAAGGTAACAACAATTCTCTCTCTCTTGCTCTGCGGGGACCAAAAAACTCATCTCACGTCCTGTGATGTCCTGTGGATGTGGTCTCCCGGGACATGGTCTCTGGCTCTTGACGTTAACTGCTGGATTTTTCTTTCCTCTTTTCTTCGTTTTTTTTTCCTGTGTGTGTTTCAAGTTTTCATAATGGAATTTCTGATAAGCTTTTTTGTGGCCAGAGAGCATGTGCCTCGGCAATTGTTTGGATACCCTTTAAAGGCAGAACAGGAGAGTATTTTGATTTTGGGGAGGTGTTTGCGAGGCACAGAAGGAATAGATTTTTCGTTAGCGAAAGTAGGAACTAAATATCTGGTTATAACTTTGGATAGATCTATATTTTGGATTAGAACACTATATCGTATAGTTTTCATAGGAAGTTTTTTATGGAAAATACACAGAAGAAAAATATAGCCCTTTCTTCTGCAAAAATACACCATACAACACCCCAAAAACAACGTTTTTTTTTTTTGGTAGCAAAACTTGTATCTTTCTGCAGATTTTTCCACAAAAAAGTGAGAAATCTGTAGGTCTGTAGGTTTCCTCAAGAGTATCCTATAGCCTTGTGCCATTCCACCTGGTCTTGCCACCATTGTCCATTCTTGTTATTGCTGTGTTACCGCAGACATGGCATTATTTGTGGCAACAATGGGTCGGAGAGGCAGAGAGCCACAACCGGCAGCCGGCAGCAGCACCATCACTCGTCAAAGGAGTAACTCCAGCCTGGGGGAGAGAGACGACAGGACACACATCATATTCATATCGTTTTCACTTTGCTTTATGCCTTTTCATCTAACCATTTCTGATGTCTGTCTTTCCCCTTCCTCTCGCTGGGATATCTGTTTTCCTCTCTCTCTCTCTCTCTCTCTGTCTGTCTGTCTGTCTGCCAGGATATCTGTTGGTATGTCTGTCTGTCTGTCTGCGTGTCTGTCGCTTCACCTGTCTCTTGTGTGCGCATTAATGTATTGCGAATTGCGGTTTTTCGTCATTGTCAACTATTGTTATGCGAATTTTTGATTTCAGCTCGAAACCTCCAGCGTAGGCGACAAATTTGTTCTTTGTCTGCTCTTGGCCCCCTCCCTGTTTCTGTCTGTGGTTGCTGTAAATACGCCTTGCCCTAAACCACCTATAGGACTTGGTAATCCTTCAAGAATCCCTCTACTAATCCTCCCGTTCTGTCTCTTTTAGCGCCACTCTGGTGGCCGTGGCCACACTCCGCCCTGGAGCCAGCGATCATCTGCGCAAGGAGTTCCGCTGCAAGGCCAAACAGCTGGCGCGTCTTTCGGATCCGAATGTGGCACGATTGGTGGGTGCCTGTCTGCGAGACGAGCCCATCTGCATTGTGCAGGACTATTCGAATTGTCTGGGCGACTTGAATCAGTTCCTGCAAGAGCATGTGGCCGAAACCAGCGGACTGATGGCCAACAAGAGTCTGAGGTACGATAGAAGGAAGCAATCATCCTTAAAGGATCTACTTTGTAGCTAATGTTTTTCGGTCTTCTATTTTTCTGCTGCTGCTGCTGCTGCTGCTGCTGCGTTATCGCACTTCCTGTACCGACGACGACGACGCTGCTACACTTCCGGTCTCGTGTTCAATGATTACAACGATCCGCCACCGAACGACGCACCACCGCCACCGCCACCGCACCACCACCACCACCATGCAACATGCGCAAACGGATGTAAAAACTTCGTTAACTTGGGGCTCATTCCGTCGTCCACCCCCTGCTCGTTGTCGCTTTGGAAAAACTTTTCCAAATTCTCATTTGACGTTCGCCGCGCCATCTCTTCCGCTCCAACATCGACCCGCCATGCAACACACACACACACACACACACACAGCTATGGCTGCTTAGTGTACATTGCCACACAAATTGCATCGGGCATGAAGCATTTGGAGCAAATGAATTTCGTACATCGGGATCTGGCAACAAGGTAAGTGCTTCCCCTTCCCCTCCCCCTCCACACACACACACAGATAAGAGGGCCATCCACGTTGACATCCTTCTGCTGCTAAAGCAGGAGTTGAACTTTTTTTTCTGTTTAACTTTAAATGTTCGGAAATTCTTGGAATATACCTCAAATAAACTATTAATCAGAGCTAAGGTTTTATGGCTTTATCTGGCAAAAAAAAAGGAGGAGGATGTTCCTTGATCAAAATCATAAATAAACCCCGAAAATTCCCCTTAAAAAACAGAGATAGAGAGAGTGAGAGAGAGGGAGAGATATTTGTGCAATATTGTTGCCGCTTATTGCGTGGCAAAACCGCAAAAGCAAAATTTATGGCCATGCATATGGCTCTAAGAAACAAATTTCGGTTAGCCAGAGATACAGATACACGCAGATACACAGAGAAGAATAGAAAGAGGGAACGAGAAAGAGAACGAGAACGAACACTCATACGTCACGTTGGCCATTTCCGAGGGCCAATTGCTGTCAAATGGCATATTGCTTTCGACTTATTCGAACATTCGAACATTCGCATGCGAGCATTCGTTTTCTTATTGCATTCATTGGTTATGCAATCGAAGGATACGACGGATACGAAGGATACACAGGTAGCATTTGACAATTGCGTGCCCCCCAAAAATAGCACAATTTTCTTATTGGATTTCGACAGAAAAATATATAAAGACATTTTCTTTTTGGAAAGTACAGGAAGGGAGGTGGCACATGCCACATGCCACATGCCACATGCCATACACGTCGTCTATTGATTCCGCTTCGACTTTTGCTGCTATAACAACAATGTCTATCATTCATTTATATAAGCAGGAAAAGCAGGGGAAAACTCAAGCGAAAGACGAGCGAAAAATTCCCTCATAAATGGGGCCAGTGGGGGCTCCATTTTCTTTTCTTACGTTTTTCTCGTTGACATTTTCATTAGCAAATTAATTTTAATTGATTACATTTTATGCGAAAGCAGCAGCAGCAGCAGAAGCAGCTTCTGTGGCGTCTCTTGAGGCGCTGTGTGTGCTGCCAATATATTGAATTACCAATTTATATACTTATGGCCATGGCCCTAGACGTCTGCATCTTTAACTTGGCCACAGACTACGCTTCGTTCTGGCTATTATTCATTCAATTTTATCATTAAAGACACCTGAGCAGAACCTACCTGGGAACCTGGGAATTGTTATGTGTTTCTGAAAATTGAATTTCTATGAAAATTGATACACACACATTAATGGGCAAGGAGCACAGGGAACAACTGTGTGTGGCACAATCACAATTGATTGGACCGGAAAACACCAGAGGGAGAACACTTGATAGGATAGTATTTCTATTATTTAATGGTATGCCGGAAGCGAACTTTTGTTTATTTAATTACGAAAAATTTCGTATTGAAATTTTAGAAACTGTATCATCATTTGGATCACACTCTTTTTAGGGTACTTTGTACATTCAGAGAATAATGGACAATATATCCGTGGAAAAGTCCACCAAAACCAATCATTGTTTTCTAAAATGATTGAACCTCAGCTTGTTTAACCAATTGGCATAGCATTTCATTAACTTTGATCTGAAAACCTATTAAAATAAGTCAAAGATCGCTTTTTCGGTATTTTTTTGGTATTTTTATAGTCTTGTTTTCCTTTACTATTTTCTCCTATAAGAAAGATAGTTCTTGATACAAGTTTTTTATCACAGTCTCTCTTCAAAGCCAAAACCTGGGGAACAGTTTTGTTATCTATCTTTTTTGTATATCAAAAGCAAACGAACGTAAGTTTGGGACCCGAAGGACCTGGAGGAAATTAAATAACAATATAATACAAAAAAGTATAATAAATAAAAAATAAATAAAATAAAAAAATAAATAAAACTCATTTTGATTTAAACAAAAATCATAAATGGCCCAAAATTAATCAAAAAAAAAAGGTTAAACTAAATACATCTAATTAAAATATATGAGTAAAATATTAAATTTGTAGGAAATGAATTTTATCCTAATGCAAACATTTTTTTTTTTTTAATTTATTAACCAATTTTAATTTGTAAATACAAAAATAACTAAGTGAAATTCGATTTTTAAATTAATTATTTCCTTACAAAAAATAAATTAATTAAATTTAACTAATGTAATTTTACTCAGTTAATTTAAATATTTGTATATTTAGATTAAATACGTTTGCTACATATCAATAAGATTCAATTTTAAATTTAAAAAAAATATAATTGATTTGAAATTGTATAGTTGGTTGAATAATTGGTTTTCAATTATTATACCAATCATATGTATATTAAGCCAATTGGTGTATATTTATATAAATTACATAAATGGTTGAAATATTTTCATATGAAAGTTCAAATCGAAATATAAAAGCTAAATTTTTCTCTCTGTGAGCAAATCGATTGGTATAAATATATAAGAAATGTATTTAATTACAGGTGTAAATATGACAATCTAAGGGCTTTTTACTCTATGTCTACAGTCTTGTATACACAATTCTCCCATTTTCTGGTATCTTCTGCTTTGGGAATTTAATTGTCTCTCAAATCCAAGAACATTATCCATTGGCCTATCGAATCTTTCATTTAGCATTCCAACAAAATCTATTCCGGCATTTCAATCGACTCTTCTGTCCAATAACCACAGAAATCCTTCGGCACTTCCATTTGCGGCCTACAATAATTATATGCATAATTGCAGAAACACATTCCAGAGTCTGTGGGACACCAACTAAAGCCTGCTATTATCGTTTTAGTAAGGCCAATTTACAGCAGCAATTAGCATTTGCGATCCCTTAAGACTGAGGAGCTCTGCAGGGTAGAGATTTCTGCTATTTGCCATAAAAATTAACTAAGATTTCAGCCTGAATTCACTTCAGCAAGATTTCTGCTACATTTGCCAACAGGCAAACAAAGGCAAGGACCCCCAAGGATAACCATGGACAAATATGTAGGGAGAGAGAGAGAGAAAGAGACACACATGGCATGCATCGAAAGGGCTTCCTTCGAGCTATGTTTGATTTCACAGACAGTGGAAGGTGAGCGAGTCCCAGGCTCCCCCCCCCCCCCCCCCCCCCCAGCTAAAGGAAAACCACACACAAGAGGAAAAACCCCACATTGAGTGCACATTTGAACAATGGGGTACAGGTTAAATATGATGTAGAGCAGTGGAATGGTTTTCTCCAAATGCTACTGAAATGTTCTATAAAATTACTCAGTTTTCCCCACATATTTTCACACTTACCCAACTGTTTTCTGTTCCTGCCGCCTCCCGCCTCCCGCATGGCTGTAAAGTAATTTTGGCCACAAGCCAAATTTGCACCAATTTTCCAGTCATTCTTTGGGAATGCCCCCTTGTTCCCTTGTCCCTACAATTTGGCCACAAACTTGTCACAGCAGACAGAAAACTGTTCCTCCTCGGACTCACAATTAAAATTTTATACTTAACTAATGTGCTGCTGCTTTTGCTGCTTTCTCCACAGATGTTTTGGCAGGGGCCGCAGATAAAAACCAGAATTGGGGGAAATACTTCAGGCCCTTCCCATGTGTGTGTGTGTGTGTGTGTGTGTCCTTTTGGTCAAAAGAGGAAGTGGACATGGAAGTGGCATTGTCTTTCGGTTGTAAATTCTACTTAGGAAAAAGGGAAATGAGTTTATTGCTGGCCTGTAAATATTGTGAAAATGTTTTCCCATTTACCCCCCAAACCCCCGCCATTCCGAGTGTCGGCTTGAAATGCGAAAATCCTTTTAGAATTTCTGTGGTTTGTTTCTAGGACTTTTCGGTTGAGAAATGCAGACACTGCAGGGGACTCCCAGGGCACTCCCAGGGCACTTCAGTGGAGGAAAGAAGCGATTTTCTCATTGATTTTACAATTTTTTTGTCAGATTTCTGCACAGATTGCAATTGTTTAAGATATTTTGTAGGCTTACAAGTGACGGAGGCCCCCACCTCCGGGGGGGGAGGCATTCATTTGACCACAAACAGATGTTGGCCAATGGCATTGCTCTGTTTTCCAGCCTGTCTGTCACTCAATGTTGAGTTTTGGTTAGGAAATTAAATTGAAAAGCATCTCCAGGCGGCGAGAATGTGGGTTTCCAAGAAAGGAACTAGTTTTTCATGATTATTATTAATTTGTTTCTGGACGAAATCCTGCCACAAAGCTCTCCAAAGATCTTAGTCTCTGTCCATCTTTCCCTCAAAATCACACAAAATATCCACGAACAATCTCCTTTACCCCAAGATCTCGCATCAGCTTTATTCAGTTCGCTTCCACGACCTATTAAAACCGCAAAAAGTGGATTGCAGGCGGCAGTGGAAATCCTTGTTTGAGCTCAGAGAAAATGCTTGGTGAGCAGAAAAAAAGCAGTAGGAAACGAGCAGCGAGCCACTAGCAAGTGTTCAACTAATTTCAAATTAAACTCAACGACGTGGCATGCCACCCCCCACCCCCCATCCTCTCGATGGGGCGTGTCGTGTCCTGCAAGCGAAGGACAACCACTACTACTATCACGAGCAATTTTTCAGCATTTAAACACTCAAGTGCCAAGCTAATAAACGATATTAGTGCCAAAGCTCATTTCAACAAATATTGTCAGGGTATCTGTGTGGTATCTGTGTGGCATCTGTGTGTGTGTGTGTGGGTGTGTGTGTGTGGCAGGGGAGGTGACAGCTCCTCCTGGACTGGCAGTGCAAACATTTTCCAAACAGTTACCAAATAAAAATGATTAGGAACGTGACTAAGAGTGCGAAAAATGTTATTTACTTAACTGATGTGAGCACTGGGACACAGGGGAGGGCTCCAGGGATGTGCCAGTGTGGGAGTGTGTTGCAATGCAACACAGATACGACCGACGACCGACGACCAGAAAACTTTGCTGCATTGCGGCTGCCAGTAGAGAGGCCACCGAGACCGAGACAGAGATCGAGACAGATGGGGGACGGGGGAATGGGGGGGTGTGGAAAAAAATACTTGAAAATTACATGAA